GGCTCACTGCAACTTCTGCCTCCTGAGTTCAAGCAATTCTCCTGCCTCAGCCTCTTGAGTAGCTGGGACTACAAGCGCGTGCCACCACACCTGGCTAATCCTTTTTTTTCAGTAGAGATGGGGTTTCACTGTGTTGGCCAGGATGGTCTCAATCTCCTGACATTGGGATTCGCCCACCTCGGCCTCCCAAACTGCTGGGATTACAGGCGTGAGCCACCGCGCCTGGCCCTACCTATATTTTGTAGAATTTTATGAAGCCTAATATGAAAGTACTTTGCAAAACACAGGGCACCATTTAAAAATTATTATTACTAAGAAAGCTGCTTTAAATTATTATCATAAATTATGATTATGATTATTTATTTATTTATTTATTTTGAGATAGGGTCTTGCTTTATCACCCAGGCTAGAGTGCAGTGGTGCAATCACAGCTCACTGCAGCCTTGACCTCCTAGGCTCAAGTGATCCTCCCACACCAGCCTCCCAAGTCGCTGGAACTATAGGCATGCACCTCTATACCTAGCTACTTTTCTGTATTTTTTGTAGAGACATAGTTTCACTATGTTGCCCATATCAAAGCCTAGGCTCAAGCAATCCCCCCTCCCTCAGCCTCCCAATGTGTTAGGATTACAGGCAGGAGCCACCATACCAGGCCTAATTATTTTCAACCAAAGGAACCAATATTTTTTTCCTAAAGGGTTACCTGAAATTTTCTCCTTAAGGCCTGTGTCATTACTGGAGTCAGTCCTGTTCCTGTTTCCATATTTTCTTTATTGGTAAGAGGGGTTCCACCTGGGCTCCTGCAAAGGTATTAAAAATAATAGTATCTGTGTTTTATGCCAAGTTTTAAAATGGATTTAGAAAGCATAAAGAAAAGAGAATGAAGGCCGGGCGCGGTGGCTCACGCCTGTAATCCCAGCACTTTGGGAGGCCGAGACAGGAGGCTCACTTGAGCCCAGGAGCTCGAGACCAGCCTGGGAGACACAGTGAGATCTTGTCTGTAAATTACAGAAAAACAAAAATGAGTTAGTTGTGTATATTAAAAAAAAAAAAAAAAAAGTCCTAATCTATTTATTTATTTGTCAAGGCAGGGTCTTGCTGTATCACCCAGGCTGGTTTCAAACTCATAGCCTCAAGTGATTTTCCGGCCTCAGCCTCCCAAAGCACTAGGATTACAGGGGTGAGCCATCACACCCTACCATGTCCCTACTGGATTAAACCACTGTAGTCAGATTTCTGTTACCTAAAGCCAAATGCAAAACCTGATACAGTTGATTCAGAGTTTAAGGAAAAAAGAAGTCGAAGCCTAAGGGCTGGATGGGATAAGTCATCTGTATCTAACAACAGTTTTAACTAGACATCCTCCTCCTTAGTAGATTTTAGGTGCACAACGTATGGCATAGATCTTATCTGTGATTTTTGTTGTTGTTCAATATGTGGCCTTGCTATTTATTACCGTTTATCCATTTCCAGAGTTCTCAACTCACTGTACTGGTTATAAACTGGGGCAGTGACAACAAGGATCTTAGAGCTAAACAGAAAAAGGAAGGGGCTAAGACCTTCCGTCAGGCCTCTTCCCTTTGCTCCCGCCCTTCACAATTTTGGGTATCACCAAGGAATGTGATTAGGGGTAGCATGCTCTAAGAGAAGGAAAGAAGAACCTGGTCACATCTCCAGAGAAAGCTGTATACTGCCTAGGAGGACCAAGTTGATTGGTAAGAGAGAAATCATATTGTCCCACAAAAAGCACGGATTCTTAAACAGGGAAGAAAAGGAAGACAGTATTGGGGTGGAGAATGTCAGCAGTGGAGTCTGATATGTCCTGCATCCAGAGGGAGAATGAACTATGAAGTTCAAAGCCAAAGACGCCAGCAGCCCTGTGTCCTAGCACTCAAGCAGGGGTGGCCAGTGGATGGCTGTTCTTCACAGATCTAATGATAAAGGCAATCAGGAAAATGACTAAGATCAACAGGGTTTGGAAGAAGTAACACGAGGGCCAGCTGATCTACTGGTTTTGGTGTGTGGTTGTACATGTAGGTGACAAAGAAAGCTGTCAAGACGTTTTCCTATCAACTCTGCATGGTCTGACTCCTAAATACATCTCCATCCCTGTCTTTCACCACCATCGGGCTCCCTCTCTATGTTACAGCCACACTGGTCACTTCTCAATTCCTTGAGATCATTCCATGATCCTTCCCACCATGGGATTCTTATGCATGTTGTTCTTTTTGCCTGGAACTCTCTCCTCCATGACATTCATGGTGGACCCACCCCACGGTTACCCTGTCCAATAAATGCCTCTTCCTCCTTGACTCTCACCTCAAGCATCAACACTTCCTAAGGGATTCCTTCCTAGATCATCCAGGCTAGATCAAGTTCCTCTCTGAGTTCCCACAGAACCTCGTTCCTTTCCTTCAGAGCACATACTGCAGTGTGATAGTATACAAATAAGGGATTATTTGATGAATGCCTATTTTCCCCACTAGACTGAAAGCTTCAAGACAGTAGATCTGTATCTGTTTTTGCTTACCACTATATCCCCAGTATTTTAGCACACTGCTGGGCATATAGGAAGTGCTTAATAAATATTTACTAAAGGAACTAATAAAATCAGACAC